AATCTCCTCTATTCTTCTTCTATTTTTGTATCTTCATTACTTTTTTTATATAGGATTGATAATTATAACTCGCTCTACTTTGGTTTTTCTGATTCGACAATCTAATCTTTAAGTAAAGTTTTAAACCCATCTAACTCTCTTTACTCTGTCTATGAATTTGAATTAATTAATTATATATATCTACATTAATTAATTTAGTCCTGGGCATGACATAAAACTGCATCCACGCTGCCTTGCGTGCTTTTGAGCAAAAGGCTTGGCACACCGCTTATAACTGGTGGATGTCGTAAGGATGGGTGTCCGGATGTAAAAAGTTTCCGCAAAATTTATTTCATGTTATCACAAAAAATAACGGCTCCATGTCCTTAAGTGGTCAAGGGGTGCTAAGAATTCCTGGGAAGTATGCAATAGCGGAGGAATGTTGCTGAAAAATTCAGAATGGCCCCTTTATGGTACTTGGACTAGGAACGCTCAATGTTGGATCACTGACTGGCCGCAGCATGGAAATCGCAGAAATGCTCAAGCGTAAAAGGATTGACATCTGCTGCCTTCAGGAGACCCGATGGAAATCTAATGGTGTGTGTCATATATACAGAAATACAGAAAAAGAAAATTATAAACTATTCTGGAATAGTCAAAAGACGACCAAAAATGCTGTTGGAATTTTTGTCAGAGAACCGCTAGCCGAAAAAGTACTGGATATTAAAAGGATTAACTCACGTCTCATGTGGATCAAGATTCACCTAGAAAAGCAAACAATGACTATTTTTCTGCATACGCACCACAGACAGGCGAATCAGAAGAGATGAAAAATGACTTCTTGGCGCCATCTCAACAATACCAAAATCTGAAACAATCCTGATTAGAAGCGATCTCAATGGCCACGTTGGAGAGAAAACAGATGGTTTTGACAACGTGCATGACGGTTTTGACTATGGAGAACGGAATAAAGATGGCAACCGCATCCTTGAGTTTGCTGAAAGTCACGGGTTTTGTTTACTGAACACATATTTTAAAAAGAGGTTGGAACGTCTCACAATATACAAAAGTGGACCATCAGCCACGCAAATTGATTTCTTCGCTGTCAAGCAAGAGCACCGAAAGCTATTCAAAAATGTCAAAGTTATACCTGGCGAATCATGTGTTGTCCAACTGAGACTCCTTGTGGCAGACCTGGTTGTCAAATTGTCAAAACATAAGTCTAAACAAATGCCTCAATCAAAACGTGGAAGCTGAAAAGCAATATTCATCGAGAAAAATTTCAACAGATTGTCGCCACACAGTTAAACTACCAATCGCAATCCAGTAGGTACAGATTGGAGTACATACAAAACCGTTTTGATAAACGCTGCAACTACAGTTTGTGGGAAAACTGGTACAAAACGCCAGCATGAACGGGACACGTGGTGATGGAATGACAGTGTACAAAATGCAATAGCTAAAAAGAAGCTGCATACAAACAATGGCAAAAATCAATGTCTGTTGATGACCACAAAATTTTTCGTGAGAAAAACAACTAAGCAAGACGTCAAGTGGCACTTGCTCGGACAAATCAATGCAGAGAGTGGCTCAATAAAAGCAAAGGTGAACAAATGAAGTCTCTGTATCGTATAGCAAAACAAGCAAAGCGTACGAAAAAAGACATAGTTGGTGCCTCATGTATCAAAAACAACAAAAATGAGATAGTTCTTAAACAAGATGGGATTAAGCTACAGTGGAAAGAATATTTCAACCGTTTATTGAATGAAACAAATCCCATCAATGTCAACTTTGACGCTCCACCCATCGAAGTTCCAATTTCAGACATCGCTGTAGTGGAGCTTACAGAAGCTCTGAAAGCTATGAAGGATGGAAAGGCAGCAGGACCCTCTGGATTCACAAATGACATTATCAAAGCATCTGGTACTGTAGGTATCCAAACGTTACTACGACTTTGCCGTAAAGTGTGGAGAAATTGCTCCATGCCGACTGAATGTAACTATAGCATGACAGTTCCGCTATACAAAGGCAAAGGTGATCCATTGAATTGTTCAATAAAACAATGAAAGATCAATTTAAATTTGATAAGTTATAATATAATATGGTATGTGGTTAAATGTGGTATGTGGTTATGTGTTAGAACACTCCCTGAAAATTGTCGAGAAAATCATTGAAGGAAGATTAACGTCGTGCATCGCAATCGGAAATTATCAATTTGGTTTCCTAGCGTGGAAATCAACAATTGATGTAATTCATATCTTTGGGCAATTGCAAGAAAAGTACCTCGCAAAGCATCAACAACTATCACACATTTTTGTTGACCTTGAAAAAGATTTAAGTTCCCCGTGAAGCAATCAGATGGAGTCTACGTCGATAACTCATCCCAGAATATCTTGTTCGACTTGTGATGGAAATGTATACGAATACTAAGACTCTTGTCAGCACAACGGTTGGAAACACAGATGCATTTGACATCGGCGTTGGAGTTCACAAGGCTCGATTCTCAGTCCACTGTTATTTATAACTGTGATGGAAGAAATCACAAAGCCGATACGCACTGGTGACATTTGGAATCTAATATATGCTGATGATATTGTTTTAACAGCCACGTCTGAGCAGAATGCAGCACAGATGTTTGAAGATTGGAACACCAGACTGGCCGATCATGGATTCAAAGTCAACATCAGCAAAATCAAAGCAATGAACACTGGTGAACCAATTCAATCCACAACTATTAGACGATGGCCCTGTTCAGTTTGTAAAGCTGATGTAGGTAACAATTCAATCAAGTTTCAGCAATGTAACCAGTGGTGTCACAAACGTTGTTCAAAAATAATTGGTAATTTATCTAAAGTGTCCAATTTTGTTTGTCCTGCTTGCATCAATCCACAACAACAAATTCGAAATAGTAATGTTTTTGAAGCCATTAAGGTATCGAAAGTCACATCGTTTCAATATCTAAGGGATGTTCTGGATTGTACTGGAACAGCTGAAGCTGCCGTTCGAGCACGCATACGTGCAGCCTAGAATAAATGACATCTCCTTGCTTCTATATCACTGTACTCATCACTGTACTTATCAACTCGAGGACATCAAAGCAAATTGCGTGATTTCAACATTAGTGACAACTCAACCAAATATTTCTACTGCAACCGAATCATTTGAATAAGGAATACGTTGCCGGCAGATGTCGTTTCTTCAACCTCATATGCTCTCTTCAAAAATCGGTTGCGATCTCTCGATTCAAATAAATTTCTAACTATTAAATAACTATCAATATTAAGTTTTCCTTTTTTTCCCGGATAATATTCATTTTTTTATTGTACTATTTCACGAGGATGTGTTATCAATGTCAACTATGATTTTTCTAATTTACTTTTTTCTGTTTCGACGGACATTTTATAGAACTTGGTTATTTTTATTATTTCTGTCTAGATAAGTGGTTAATATGGCCCTCTGGACAGTTTTGTCAATAAATAAACAATGATTAAATGAAAAAATGTATATGCTGGTGAAAGAATAATTAATTAATATATATATATATATATATATATATATGTATATATTTGTTTGTGTATATATATACTTGCTATAACATATATATGTATGTACTATTCTGTATATGTGTGTACTGTGTATGTATAATATTCGTTTTTTTATTGTACTATTTCACGAAGATGTGTTATCAATGTCAACTATGATTTTTCTAATTTACTTTTTTTCTGTTTCGACGTACATTTTATAGAACTTGGTTATTTTTATTATTTCTATCTAGATGAATGGTTATTATGGCCCTCTGGGCAGTTTTGTCAATAAAAATAAAAAATAAATAAAATATTGATGCGGCGTGACATCCCACTACCACTACGATCAAGACTTTATAAATCTGTGATACGTCCGGTGTTGTTATATGATGCAGAAACATGGCGAATGACAACCAAACTGGAACATCAACTTCACCGAACCGATATGAAAATGCTCCGATGGATGCAACGAATTAGTCTGAGGAACCACATCAAATCTACCAAAATCCTGTGTCGTGCTGGTTTAGATAATATAAAGGACGAATGCTGGCAACACCGTCTGCGGTGGTTTGGTCATGTCAAACGAAGTGGAAACAGTGCCATAACTTTTCTTGCAGATGTTGAAGTACCTGGTACACGTCCCAAAGGTCGTCCAAAGAAATCCTGGTCGCAAACAATTGAGCAAGACATGAAAGCTTTAAATTTAAATGAAATAGATAAAACAGATCGTTTAATTTGGTGCAAAAAATTGATGGCAAAGAAAACAACGTCCTACCTCGAGAAAACTGGGTCTCTGAACGCTAAACGATGATTGATTGATTTTTTTAATTAATTATAAATATTTACTATTCTCTATCTAAATACTCAACTTTTTATTGAAACATTATAATATCTGTTTCAACTACTAAAAATAGGTGGACTTTTCTATCTAAACTTCTTCTTCATTTATCTTTTTCGGTTCAACAGTATCATGACTTTATTGTAAATAAAATTAATTCTTTAAGAACATCTAATTCTCATTCTACTCATAACTTTACTAAACTTACTACTGAATCTTTTTATATATTTACTCCTATAAATCTTCTAGGACTTACTAAAATTATTAATTCTATATCATCTACAACTTGTTCTCCGGATCTTAAAAGATTTTCTTTAATATTTTACCTATAATTCTCAAATTAGTTAATTTATCTTTTTCCACATCTAAATTTTCTACTTCTTATCAGAATTCTGTTGTTATTTCTATTCTTAAAAGCTCATCTTTATATCCTTCCTCTTTATCTAATTATAGACCTGTTACTAATATTACTTTCATCTCTAAAATAATAGATAAAGTAGTTTATAATCAATTATCATTTTATTTAAACTCTAACTCTTTGCTACCTATCTTACAATCTGGTTTCAGACTTGCTAACCTGAAACTTCTTTACTCAAAATGCATAATGATATCCTTCTCTCTAGTGATAATAGTAATCTTACTCTTACTCTCATTCTTGCTCTTGACTTTTCATCTGCTTTTCATACTGTTGATCATACTATTTTCTTGAAGCTGCTAGATCAATCTTTTAATATTGCTGATGTCTATCTTGGTTTTCTTTTTATCTTTCTAATCGTTTTTCTTCTGTTTTTTTAATACTTCTACTTCTAAATTCTCTACTCTTACTTTTGGGATACCTCAAAGTTCTATCCTTGGCCCTCTTCTATTTATACTTTATACTTCTGAACTAACTCGTATCAATAATTTTTCTTTCACTAGTCAGCTATATACTGATGATTCTTATATTTAAACTTCTTTTCTTCCATCTAGTCTCATTAGTGTTCTTTATTATCTATCTCTATGTCTTTCTTCAATTATCGCTTGGTCTAACTCTATGGGTCTTAAACTTAATCCTTCTAAATTTGAATTAATTTGTTTTAATAAATTTAAACGTACTAATACTATTCCTTCTATTATCTTACCTGATTCTAAAACTGTTGATGTATCTCATAAGATTTGTAGTCTAGGGTATATTTATTTTGGAAATTTATTTACGGTGCAATAAAAATTATCTAATGGATTCAACCAAAAAATTACTCACATAAAGAAACAATGTTAAAAATACCAGATCAACTACATATAACAATATCACAAACTCTATTACACTGATGATGGTAAAGGTTACCGAAAAAAGCTTTTATGTAAATGTATATATGAAAAATGCAGTCTAAAATAATTAAAAAGTTTATTGTTAATTTGAATAAATTGAATAATATTAATAAAATAATTGTTCGAAGAATTGAAAAACTTATTTACAAACTCAATTATGTGGATAATGCGGTGATATTTCTTAATAACTGTGTATATATATATATATATATATATATATATATATATATATATATATATATATATATATATATATATATATATATATATATATATATATATATATATATATATATATATATATATATATATATATATATATATATATATATATATATATATATATATATATATATATATATATATATATATATATACA